CATGTGATCTCATACATCTCACACCTCAACACATGCACGCACACATGCACGCGCACACATGCACGAATGCACACACATGCCCACACATGCAGGCACAGCCAAGCAGTTTTACGAGGAGGTGGCATGGAGATGCTCTCTGCATGCCGTGATCTGAGCGCCCCCAACATAAATCCGTCCGAGCGCCTGCACGTTCACCATTGAGAAATGATCTTGAGAAGCTTTTTGGCCAAGTCTCTTACCAAAATGCGAAAGACACAAACGTGAACAAGGGGGCAACTTCTTAAGGCTTTTTGCTTCAAGAGGGCTTCTGAGTGGGGCAGGGGCAGCAGAAACAGACCCCACTTCCTGTCTTGGCTGCAAGTCTGTCCTGGCCAGAGCTGCCCAGAGGAGGTGTCCTGCTAAACGGTGAGGGTAGGGGAGAAGAGGTGCCCTCCTCTCCTGTGCTGTCTGCACTCGTCCAGGGTCACACACACGCTGCTGCCCCTCGTTAAGTGCCTGTGAAGTGCCAGGCACACTCCTGTGCCAGCGCTTTACCCGTGTGTCCGTGTGCCCCTAGCCTCGTCGTGAGGGTCTTCTCTCCGCTTCACAGAGGAGGAGACGGAAGCTCAAGACTTGCCTAAGGTCACTGAAGTGGTGTGGTGGGGCCTCTAGCTCTTCCCCTCAGCACTGGCACCGGCACCGGGAGATGGAGTCACTCTGGGAAGGGAGGGGGCGGGAGCTGCCAAAGGCCCCAGAGCTGAGGACATGCTGCCTGGAGACCAAGGAACACAGGTGGCAGCTCCATGCTGGCGGGGCACCCCATGGGGACGCCGCTTCTCTGTCATGACATTCGGGCAGCTCCATCCTCACTCCAGGGCTGGGGTGAGTTTGGACACAGGGGCAAACGGGCTCACAGGGCCTGTCTGCTCACCCTGCCCCCCAACCTCAGGGAGGTTATGAAAAACCAATCCCTGACTTTGAGGGTCCTGAGCTCCTCATCCTCATAATCCCACAGTCTATTTTGGGGGGAAATGGGCTGTGTCACTCTTGAATTGGGCCCCTGGTAATTGGAACAGATAGGGCCCCCTCACTGGCCCAAGAGCCCATGAGAACTTCTCATCTTACCCACCAGAGGGCGCTATTGTGAAACAGCCTCAAAGCTCAATCCTGTTGAGACTTCTCAGAGCTCTCTGGCAGAGCCCCTCACCATAGGGTGCCCGCATGACCCCTCCTCTCATCACAGCCTGACCCCATCTCCCATCACCCACCCCAGTTACACATCTGCTCAAATCCTGCTCTCAAGCTGATATACAAGTACGTCGAAAACTTCACTGGGCTGAGTGTGTTTCTGCTGCTGTCTGAAGCAGCCCTGCACATGTACCCCAATTACTGGATGTCCCCCCATTTTCAGGTCCCTTGGGGCTCAGGGCAGTGTGAGGCCCTCCACACACTGCAAAGCCCAAGGTCAGGATGAGGAGAGATCTCAGCAGAGATTATTTGGAGCAGGATGACACTGGATACAAGAAGGAAAGGAGTTGGAACAAAACAGAAAGGCACCTGCAACCTATGGCCTTCAGGGCTAGGACCGTCCCCGGCACAGGTCCAGGCAGCAGGAGCTGCAGACAGAGGCCAGGAGGTCTGGGGGGACTAGAAGGGAGAGGGGTTCCTGACAACACTTCTGAGACTAAAGCCAGCCCCTTCCTCACTGACTGGCATCACTGCCTGCTCCTCCCCACCAGGAGCTGGAGGACCAAGGGAGGATGGAGGGCCGTGGCCACGTGGTGCTCCCTGCCTGTGATCAGCCCCTGGTCCTTTCCCATTCCAGGGCACTCCTCTCAAGGAGACGACACCTTCACTTCAGGGTTGGGGTGACCAGAGAATTGCTCCCTCAAGAACCCATCTGTCTGCAGGGCCAAGATGACTCTGCTGAGCAGAAGCCATCCCACTCTCAGAGGGATCGCTGGACACTAATAAGTGGTGCCTGGGTTTGCTTCCCTCGCTCAGACTGTTGTCTCTCAGCTCCCAGAGCCTGGTGGCCCCTGGGGCGACACTCCAGACGCAATGCCCTGGTCCTGCGGGCTTTCTTTGGTCGCTCCAATGGTGTTAACGTCCACAAGCAAGTCCTGGCTCTAATCCTGAACAAGTAACCCCACCTCTCCAGGCCTCAATTTTTTTTAAAACTGTAAGACAGAAATGATAAGATCCATTTATCTCTTGCATGATTCAATGATGATCACCCATCACTTCCGTACAGTCAAGTAGAAAGATTGGCGGGTGCGGCTGCAGGTGGTAGCCGACCCAGTTGGTACCCTGCTCCCATTTCATTCTCCCAATCCCTATGCACTGTTGGCCTTAGACTGATTTTTCAATGCCTCCTTCTTTCCACAGAGTGCCCACACCCTGCGGGTGGGTGGGAGAGAGGCAGCAGCCCCTCCTTGGGGTGCTCCGGGGACAGCACAGGTCTTGTCTGTAACCTCAGCGTTTCTTCCCAGCTGCAAGGGCCCTTTCGAATCAACATTTCCCCAAACTGTACTCCTCTGGCTACGGATCTGAAACTGTGGGTAGGCACCAGGATCACCAGGTGGGGCTTAGCAAAATCTAGGCTCCAGAGTCCCTCTACATCAAAGGCAAGGCCTGTAGTTTACACACGTTCAGCAAACACCAGGGAGCTCACTGGGCCACACAGGGAGGACGGCTCTCGGACTGTGAAAGCCATGCCTCCCACGCAGCTTACACCCTTCCTGTCGGAGGGCCACACAGTCCATGCGCACGCCAGAGTGCTGCAAGTGCTTGCTGTGAAGAAACATGCCTGCTTTAACGCAGCATTCCTGAAAGCTGACTACAAAGACTTTTAAAAATTTTTTTAGCATAACCATAACTAGTTAACTAGTTATGTGAGGTTATGCTAAAATTTTTAGCATAACCTCACATAACTAGTGTTCTAAATTTTGGGAAATGTTGATCTTGTTCTTTTTAAAAATATATGTTTAAAAAATTATTTACTGATTTGAGAGAGAAGAAGGGGGCATGGGAGTGGGTGTGGGTGTGACAGGACACCATTTGCTGTTCCAGCCATCCAAGCATTCATGGTTGATTCTTGTAGGCGCCCTGATCAGAGATTGAACCCGAAACCTTGGTATATTAGAATGATGCCCCATCTGAGCTACCTGGCCAGGGCATAAAATATGTTTTAAACAAATGTTTTGTAATTGAATTTATTGACATTGGTTCATGAAATTGTGTAGGTTTCAGGTGTACAATTCTGTAATACATCATCTGTGTGTTCACTACCCCGAAGATAGACATTTTCTTTTTAATATTTGAGTGGACTGAAGTCTAGGAAGGCGTTTTCAAGATGCTTAACTGTTGACACGGACCTTGAATTTGGGCCTGGACCCCTTCCTGTTCTCTGTCCATTCCTCCCACCATACTCTGCCTCTGTCTGAGTCTGAGGCTCACCAGGGATAGAACTCAGGAGGAACCCTCGGGGTAGCTGACAAGTGACAGGAGATCGGAGCAGGGACCACAGGGGCCGGGATTAGCCTGCTTGGATGGGAGAAGCAGCAGGAGGGGTTGCCCCCTTTGAGGATGTCTGCATGGGTCCAGGTGGGGGTGGCGGGGGTCTTTTCCCAGCCCTTCCCCTCCCAAGCTGGCAGTCATCCGGGGAGACAGGGGGCAGCTGAGTGCGGCTGGGGCTGGTCAGTGGCAGCAAAGCTCGTCTTGCCTTTTCTCCTCCAGCTCAAAACAGGCATGTGCAGCCCTTAATTGACGTGCTAGCACGGGCAGCCCTCACAGGAGGAAAACTGATTTATTGCTTTATAAAAAGGAATCTGATAAAACTTAAAACAACAAACAAAAACTAGAAACCTAAAAATCCACCCACCCCCCCCACCCCCCCCACTGCGCCCAGGAAGTCCCAGACACAGCTCTGGGGCACTCCTGGTGGGAGGATGGGTACATCAGGCCCGCCTGGCAGAGAGGGAGGCCTCCCCATAAATAGCTCAGGGCCCTGGAGGAATCTGCCAGCAGGGGGCGCCGTGGCTCCACGGCCGCCCACAAGCTCCCAGATGAGCCAGGCTGGCTTCTGGGCGCTGAGCCTGCTGCAGGCCTGCCTGGCTCCTGGGCAGCTCTGGGAGAATAACCAGATACCCAGAGCCCACACCCTACCACACCTTTCTCACACAGCTCACATGTACACACACACACAAACCCCTGGGCCCCCCACTGCCTACCTCCCCACCAGGCCTGCCCTCTGGTCTATCAGCCACAGCCTCACTCCACCCCCACAGCAATAGCTGCGTGTTGGTGCCCTTTTAATTCCCTTCAGGCCACAGGCTGGATGGCGGGTGGCAGCACAAACTTGCTCTCCACGTAGATGCTGAGGTCCTTTGTCCCCGGCTCCGAGCCTCGTGTCTCCCCCTCCATCCCCCCCATCCCGTTCCTTCCCAGGCTCTCAGCCAGGGGTCCTCTCCACAGGCCGCACACAGGAGGACAGGCCCGGCCTGGCCACGGGGGGCTGGGATCACAAAGGCGTTAGCACCACAACAGGAAGCGGGTCCTTCCTTCCTCACGCAGCCTCAGACTGACCAGGAGAGGAGACGAGGGGCCGGGCAAGGGGGTGCGGACAGTGCAGGCCTTTGTCCTCAGGCAGGCGTGGCGGGAGGGCATGCAGCTGAGAGGCAGGTGGTAGGCAGTGAACAGCAGATCCCTCTGCTTTGGCGAGAGGCAGAATCCAGATGCAGGAGGGAGAGGGCCTGACTGCCAGGGGTCCTCCTGGCTCTTCCTGCAGGTACTAGGGCCCCTCCCAGGTGGCAGAGCGAAGCCCAGGGCAGCCCTCGCGGGCCCAGGCCCTCCCTGTCCTTCCCCAGCAGAGCTCCGAGGCAGGGCCGGAGCCCCGGGAGGGCGCACGGACTCCAGCGTGGAGGAGAGGTTCCGGGGGCATGGTGTCCTCTGGGGTGGGGGGAGGACACTGTGAGTCACGGACGCAGGGGCAGGAGGCCACAGTTCTGAGGTGGTGGGCGCTACACGAAAGCCTCCTGGTTGGACGAGCCGTTGAGCTTGAGGAAAAGCTTGTCGTTTTCCCTCTTCTGCTGCAGCTGCCTCTCCAGCTGGCGCCGGTAGCAGATGAGGTAGAGGGGGAGGCAGAACCCCAGCAGGCTCATGACCAGCAGCCCCACGTTCACCTGGGGCGGCAGGGATGGAAGCTGCCGTCACACGGGGCAGGGGACCAGGGAGGGGCTGTCTGATCCGAGACCCTTCCTCGCACTCGGGTTTGGGGCAGGGGAGAAAGCCCCAAACAGGAGCGGGAAAACAAGCTGGAATGTCCCAGAGGCTGGAGGGCCACATTCCAGCACCGGCATTCCCTCCCTCCGGGCCTGCCCTCTGCCTCCCGGCACCCCCAGCCCTGACCTCAAACCTACTCATCTGAACCTCCCGGGGCTGGGGCAGGGACAGCAGCTAGATTCTCCTTATCTCACATCAGGTCCAGAAAGGGCCCTTTTCTCCTCCTGGCCAGCCGCCAGGCACAAGGGCACTCTGATTCCATCTGAACCAAAGTCCCCAAACTTCTTGTCTCTGGGGCTCCGGCAGCCCCGGAGCAATGCCTCTCAGCTCCGCCCAGCAGAGCGAGCCAGGAGCCTGTCACCCGCTGCCCCTGCCCTTCTTACCCACAGAGGGTCTCCCTGGAGGGGGCCCATCATGGCCAGGAACAGGGGCTGCTGCAGGAGAGCAAAGAGCGCGCTGACCAGAGACTGCAGTCCCGTGAGGCTGCCAAACTGGGTGGAGGGGTACCTGCAGGGCGATAGACAACCCGTCACCGGAACACACTCCCAGGCTCTCCGAACGCCCTGGCCTCAGCCTGGCCCCGGGGGTGCTGGTGCCAGAGAAGAGGCAGGATGAGCCTCGGAGAACGGCGGCAACTAACTGCCTTCAGATTACGTTCCGCTCAGCAGTTGTGCAAAGTGAAATTCCCTTTTGCACTCACCTAAGGCCCCAGCCCCCGGGGAGGACCCACCCTGCCCAGGTGTGCCCTGGCCTGTGGGTGCCTGGCTGAGCTGAGTGGCGAGTGTGGTGCCAGCTGGAGCTTGGGAAACAGGCTGAGGGAGCAGGACGGAGGCCGGGCCGGGCTCCGCGGTGCCCTCATCCAGAGGGGCATTGTGTAATCACGGAAATGTGGCATCAGAGCTCTTGGCGACTGCCTCAGACCCTGCCCAGGCAGCCGCAACTTCCTCCAGGCCTGGTGGGTGGGGGACCTGGCGTGACCCCCACGCAATGTGTTGGGAGGGGGAGAGTTAGCAAGCTCTTAGCAAACATCAGGCCGCGGTGGAAGGGGCTCCGAGTGGGGAACAATTTGATCTCTGGTCAGAGAGACAATTTGATCTCTGGTTAGAGAGAGACAGTGGGTGGCGTTCAGGTTCCAGTTTTTGAAACCAGCCCCGGCCCAAGGAGGAAGAACGCTGTGGTTCCTTGCGCATGGGGGGCCTCTCGGGAGAAGAGGCAGGTTTCGTTGTAGCCACGCCCCGAGAAGGCTGTGGGTAGGTGGCCAGCCCGGTGAGATTCTGGGTGAGAATGTCTGATATGTTCTGGGCTCAGTGATCCACGTCCCTGCTCCTGCTGAGGATCATTTGAACGTCAACACGGAGCCTGGGGCAGCCGGAACCCACCCCGGCCTTCCCATGAGCAACCAGAGGCAGCCAACTCGGTGGAGCAGTGGCCCCCAGGGCACCATGAGCTGCACAGAGGTACTGCCTGGCTGAGGACTGACTTCGTGCTAAACGCCAAGGCTTGTGGGCATCCAACTGTCTGCCCGCTGACCCACCTCCCGCCAGGTCTGGCCTTCCCCTGACACACCCAACAAAGCCCTGGTACCTGTCCCCGATGCAAGAAAATGAACCCTTAAAGGGCAGGCTGCCCCCCTCAGGCCCATGGTCCCACCACAAACCCCCATAAGCACCCCTTCACCCTGTCACCAGGCCACCCGCAGATCCCAGGACTTACACGGCGGCGTACAGGCCCCCAATGGCAGAGTGGATGAATCCCCGCACAATTGTGTGCAGGATGAAGGAGAGGATCTGAGGGAGGGAGAACAGAGTGAGCAGAAGACGGTGTGGACCCTCACCCTGTGCCCTACCCCAGTTCCTGGTCCTGAGCAACAGGGGCACTGGCAACCTAGCGTTGGCTCTGCAGGGCCAAGTCCTGAATCTTTAGAATTCTTCAAGGCAGTTGTTAAACACAGTCGTTATGGAAACTGACATTTTATAAACTTACAATTAAACAAATTATATTAAAGACACAGATAATGAATACCCAAAACTTATCACTTTCTAATTATTTAACTGTGTTACTATGATCTAGGTTCTCAAGGTTTTTGTATGGTGGAAGGAAATACCACAGGATGGTGGGATACTGTGATTCTCTTACTAACCCCACGAGGGGTGACGTCATACTGGTTGAAAAATCAGCCACAAGGAGAGCAAATGGAAATTGGCAAATGCTAAAAGTCCCTGTGCCCCGCCACAGCCCCACGGAGGGTCTGTTGTGAAATGTGTATCCATAGCACTAAGCAGGAGGTCACGAGCCCTGACTGGATCCTGCTATTGCTGACCAAGGACTGTGGCGAGGTCTCCCTGCCTGGTCCCTCAGGCCCCCATGTGCCGTGCCGAGGAAGGCTCTGCGGTGTGAGAAGGCACTACTGGCAGGCTTTGCGAGGTCTGAGAAGCACTGGCTAGCGGTGCAGAGGTACAGGATTTGTCCACGTGGCCACCAGGACCCTGTTTTCTTTTCAGACAAAGGCCTGCCCCCCTCCTCAGCAGCCAGGACCTGTCCCTGGGACGTGGGTGGTGGAGGGGACAGGGGCTACACTCTGCTCAAAGCGGGCTGTGCCCCAATGGGCAGGCCCATACCTGGGCGGGCTCCCCCTTTCCACTTCAACTGCCCGGTTGCTCTTTTCATAACTTTTCTTCCAATGAGAACTCAAAAAAATAAAATAGACTGTCCCCACTAAGCACTGCCCCTCAATTGGACAAGTGGCCAGGGTCTGCCAGTGCTACAGAGAGGGCAGCCACCAGTGGGCCAGGAGGGCACGGGGAGGGAACAGCACTTGCACCTGGAACTGGTACAAGTTTCCAGCAGTTTACTCTGATCCGCAGGCCCCGGGGTCAGCAGTCACGTGACAGTGCCCCTGGGCAATGCACACCTGGTATTCAGGGTTCCTCAACACGTGGCCACTTGTGAAAAGGAAGGGACTCTTGCTTTCATCCTGGACCGGGCTCTAGATGATAACATCTGACCTCGGGCCACACCCACCTGGGAGCCGGGCCATCACTCAAGTCCCTTCAAAGTCCCTAATCTTGGGAGTTGGGGCTGGTACATGTTCATGGACCTACGGGGTGGAGTCAGGCGGAGGGTAATCTCCGCCAAATGTTAGGTTTCAAAAGCATCAGGAATCTGTGGAACGAAATTAAGCTTTTGAACCCAGATGCCAATCTTTTTCCACTCTCTGCAATGGAGAGGCCTTGTAAGCATTCTTGTGTCTGAGGGACAGATGTTCCCACCAACACCAGATTAGCCAGACCTCACATTTCAGTGGTTGAGCAATGCAAACTAAGTAGCCACTCAACTACCCAGCACAGTTCTGGAAAATGGTAGGATGGCGGTATCTGTGGTATGCAGATGCACAAAAGACCAAGGGGAATGAGTCTTTTGTGAAAGGCAGCCCCAATGCATTGACAGCTCACTCCTAGTAGAGCACAAAGCCTGGCAGGTAAGAGGTTCTCGGTAGAAACAGCTGGGGGCTGGTGAGTTGGTTGGCGGAATTAAACGAATGAAAAGCCACCATTCTCTTTGTCCCCTTTTGGTCTTGCACTTTTTCGTCTCATTGTACCTTTCCCCCATCTGACCTCACCCTTTCCCCACACCCACCTGTAGAGGCAGGTTGGGAATGAGACACGTCACCCCAAAGCCCACAAGCAGCACGTTGGTGAAGGCAAAGGCCCGCATGGCGTTGGTGACCTTCTGGATCTGCCGGTCTCGCTTCTTCTTCGTCTCGCCTCTGCAGAGACACAGAGCACACTGGCGGAGGGGGGCACAGGATCCCGGAGGAGGGTGAGCTAGCTCTCCAACAAGTCAGGCCCCAGGAGGCGCAGCTTGTGGACAGCTCAAGACTCAGAGGCCACCCACACACTTTAGGGACCATCGGAGCTAGACTAGCACTAGGGACACTCCCACTGCACCCCCCCCCCCCTTGACTGAGTGCTGAGCCTGACTCTCAGGGGACAGATCAGAGATGAAAGGTGTGATATCAACACCCTGCACGGCTTCAGTGAAGACTGAGCTCAAACGATGAGGAGGGAAGGAGCAGAGTGTGCCCACGTTAGGACGAGGCAAAGCCTCGCTTCGTCATTGGCTTCAATGTCCCCCAAATCCTGCGGGAGCTGACGGTAAGGCAGGTAACAAGTCCAACGGGGAGGGAGTGGCTTTGCCCTTGGGTGAGCAGGAGGTAGTGACACAGAAACAAATGGGCAGCAGATGGAACTGGAACGGGCACAAACCACCTCTTGGCGGTAGGACCTGACCTAGATAACAAAGCCTTCTCTGTAATGACTTCCTTGTGGGATCCACGAGCACCGATTCCTGTCTCACCACCCACAGATGCCCCGTGGACAGCTGTGTGCTTCCAAGGAGGAATGCCAGGTGCTGGGGGATGCGTAGGGAGTCTCAGGCCCACCGCTTCCTCACGGCGCGACCTCGGACACGTTATTCAAACTCCTAGCTTCCAGTCCCCCATCTGTAAAACGGGTGTCACACCAGCACACACCTCCTCGAGGTGCTGTGAGGCTTAACCGAGATTGTGCACGAAGTGCTTGGGACAGGGCCTGAGACAATAAACAACAGCCTATTATACGAAGGTGGAGTCACAGAAGACAGCACTTAACTCATCCTCTGATCTTAGGGCCCAACCCTTACCTAAGGTAAGGCTCCGGTGCCTTATTGAAGGCTCGTGATCATGAACAAATCTATTAACACCTATTACAGTTACGGTGACTTACTGTTCTCACCGTGGCCTGAGCCTTGTAGGCAAGGCAGCACTGATTTGGGGCCCTTCACCCACTGTGCTTTTCATGCTGAGCATCTGAGTGTGGTTCTAAAAGCAGAATGGTTTGACTGCACACTGACCTTCCTCTTGTGTCTCCTCTTCTTTTATCTAACTCAGTGCTCCCCAATCTGCAGCCTACCATGAAGAAGCCACAGCCCTGAATGTGTGCTGAGCTGAGCAGGCGAGTGTCTTAAAGGCCTGGGGAGAGTAGCCTCGGGCACCTCTCGCGCCTCTCCTGCGCCTCTCCTGCTTGCTTTACAACCTGCCCACCACACACACCTGTCCCTGCCTAACATCTGACTGGGGGGGGGAGGGGAAGGAGACACGCTTCTTTCTCTGGGGCCAAGAGCCAGGCCCGGGTGCTGCCTACGCACGGGTTGGCGTCTTTCTCTTCGGGCTCATCTGTGGCATCTTCACACTCCTTCATCCTCCAGTCCATGATGTAGCCGATGATGGGGGCCGTCAGCAGGCAGAGGAGCTGGAGCACACCGAAAATGGAGGTATAGAGGCTCACTGGGGAGGAAGAAGGCTGTGTCACGGGGGGTTCCTGACCGAGGCCGGGCACGGGCACCGGGCAAAGCCCGAGACCCCACAGGTCATCCCCAGACCCCCCTCGTGTCACCGCGGATCTGGAGGGGGGCCGAGACCTTAACCTCCGAGGTCAGAGCTGGCACGGGGGTAGGCACCCTATTCTAAGGTGATCAGACGTCCCAATTTTTAACAATTTGTCCTGCAGTGTTTTAAAACAGTCCCGATTTTTGGAAAGAAGATTTTTAACAATTTATCCCGTGTCCCTTGGCGTTTTAAAACAGTCCCAATTTTTGGAAAGAAGATTTTTAACTATTTGTCCCGCATCCTGCAGCTGTTTTAAAACAGCCTCGGGACGCGGGACAAATTGTTAAAAATCGGGACTGTCCCACCAAAAGCGGGATGTCTAGTCACCTTACTCTATTCTCTTCTCCAAATCCCCTGCTTGTTCCCAAGAAGCAGCAAGGGAAATCCAGTGTCACAATGGCTCCCCCAGGCGCTGCGGGACAACTCGGACTTGGGAGCCACAAAATGACCAAAGCTTGGCCGGAGGCTTGGTAAGACTGGCCATTATTCCTCTGCCTTAGAAACATACCAGGAGCGCGTCACTCACAGGGATCCCACGTAAGGGCTTTCATCCTCAAAGAGCTCAAAATCAAAATGGGATTTTGGGGTTTTGGGGGGGGACAAATGGAAACTGAAAGTTGGCTACCCCAGCCCACCCACCCCACCCACAGCTCTGCCCGAGAGGGATGTTTGCATTCAACGCAAGGCCTTTCTCCACTGAGCAGAGACTGGCTGGAGGGGATGTTGCAATGCTCCCCGACAGTCCCCCCTGCTTACCAGCGGCCATCACTGCATCAAGAGAGCAAAGTGAAAAGGCAGAAAGGAGCACAGTTAGCAGCGGAAATCTCGGGGATTGTTACAGGGAGACGGGCATGGAGGCTGGCTGGCTCTGGGCCCGGCATACAAGTCATTTCCCCCCTAGACCTGCTTTTCAGAGCACCCATGGGTGGCTGGGCTGGAGCCAGGCTTTCAGGAGAGGAGGTGGGAGGGGCCCAGTGCGGGCGCCTGCTGACCTTCTCCTGTCTGCCCGGGTCTCAGTCCTGTGCAGCCGGGCCCAGTCACAGGCGGGGCTGGTGAATCAGGCCTGTGGTTTCCCGGGGACCATGATGGGAAGTAGTGTGGGTGCAAAAGGCTGGGCAGAACGCACTGTCGCGTGGCCCTCTGGGAACACTGCTGTCACAGCTGTGCTCTGAGGGCATGAGAGGTCAGACACGGCATCCCAACCCCCAGCAAAGCATCTGGCACCACGGGTCTCCCCGGACACCAGAGCTGGCCTCCTGTCCACCCAGCGGCTCCCTGACCCCGAGGCCACCCCGCGGGCACAGTCCGGATTGTGGGTGTCATGCACAACAGCTCCCAGGAGCAGGATGGGGAAAACCGATGCCCTGTCAGCTGCAGATGGGATTTCCTGGCCCCACTTCCTCTCCTTCGTGAAACGGACTTTTTGAGTGTGGGAAACAGTGAAAAAAGAGCAGCAAAGGATTTCTCAGAGAACTTGAGTAAAAAGCCATGACTCAGCAGCAGGCAGCTTTGCCTTCTCAGGGCCAGGGAGGACCCTTCTCTGGACCCTTGGGGTCTCCACCTCCCTGGGCCTGAGACTGTTAGATAGAGGGTGTTGAGACATGACAGATGAGCTTTCCCCGAAGCTCAGTCCACAGATTTTAACGAGAGTTACACAAGGAAACCGCTGCTGCGGTAGAATTAAGGGGGGACGTCACTAGACTCAACAAAGCTAAGTCAGTCATTTTTTTCCGGTAAAAAGCAGGGTCTTCCCTATGTCAGCATTCATCATGAAACTGTGCAACGGCACGTGACAGTGCTCCTCCGCGGGCCCCTGTGCACAGTGGAACCAGTGTTATCTGGCGCCCGCGTCGTCTTTCCCATCGTGCGGGCTGGGTCCCTTCCACAAACTGCCTTTGTCTTTGATTCCTTACACACACACACACCCCGGACAACAATTACACTAACCAAACGCGGTCAATAAAGAAGCATTTACCGAAGGTGTTTGTCCCGCTCGGGGTGACTAACGCTGACTCAGCGAGGCCCTGAGGAAGTACTGACTTTCCTTGTACAACCAAAACCTCTAATCTGCGCCAGCCCTCGGTGCTGTTTTGGGAAAGTGGTGTGCGAGTTATCAGTTTTGTTTACCAGCCGGAGCAAGTCTGGACTGGATCGCACATGTGAGGAAGCTCCACCCGGCCCCGCTGCCAGCCGGGGGCGCTGATCCCAGTGCGGGCCCCGTGCCCCAGTCTCCAGCCGAGCCGGCCTGAGTCCCACTGCCCCCACCCCCACCCCGCCGGCCCCCTGGGTGCTCCACACCCCAACGCTGCGGTCTCCCAGGGGATTCTGGCATTGGGCTGGCTTGGCTGTCTGTCAGCGGGTTCTCAGGTAGAGCGCTCAATTCCCAGTAATGTTTTCATTCACAGACACGCCAACCCGCTCCTCAGGCAATGAAAACATACACCTCCCTCCCCAGATGCACACAGTTATTCTAGTCCTCCCTCCCTCCTAAACCGGGACTCCCTAATGGGACTGCGATGAATGGCTCTGACCAGCACGGGGTCACTCGGACGCTGCCATTTCCCAGCCCAGCCTAACGCCGCCCAGCCAGCCGGCCGGGCAGCGGGCAGGAGTGACCACCAGTGGGGGAGGGGACCCTCTTATGGGGTTGTGCACCGAGGCCCAGGGCTGCCCACCTTTGTCCTGGTCCCCGCTGACCAGGAACTTGAGGATGCTGTTCATGGCACCCATGTAGAAGATGAGCCGCAGCTGCGTGACGCACATGGTGACCAGGCTGAGCAGCAGGATGGGGCTGAAGATGCTGTGCATGAAGGAGGGCGCCGCTGCGGGGAGAAGGCACAGGGTTCAGGAACAGCCGGGCCCCGATCTCCACGGCCCACAGCCCACCTGGCATTCAGGGGCCCGTGTGAGGAGGGGAGGCCGTTTAGCTGACCAAATCATTCCTTGCTGGCTGGGAGGAGGGGCCCGGTGAGGTTAAAGGGGAGGGTACCAGAGTGGGGTCACCCAGCTGTGTAAAACAAGTCCCTCATCCTCTCTGCGTATGTGAATGAAATGGATTAGTGACTGGTATTTGTCATCTGAACCCCAGGGTGATGGTGCTGGCTGCCCTTTTGGGATGAAGTGGGGATTAAGTGAGATGAGACCCACAAAGTCCTCAGACGGTGCTGGCCCTCTGGGACCAGGGCTTCCAGATCTGGATTGGCCACCCCTTCCTGTGCTGGATTGGCCACCCCTTCCTGTGGGTGTGGGTTGGGTGTGAGGCGGGTGTGGGTCAGGAAGGCGAGGCCCCGGTGGTACCTGCGGCATCGGGCTTGCACTTGACCTCCAGGTCCACGGTGGACAGGCAGAGCTTGTGGCCCTCCTGCAGGGCCGCCTGCTCCTTGTGGCTCCGCATGGAGCTGCCCACGCTGAGGCGGCGCCCCACGGTCGTCACCTGCTTGTAGAACTGCTTCCCCGTGATCTTGTGGTCGAAGCCCAGCCAGCTGAACTTGATCTTCACCCTGGACGCCGCAGGAAGTGCCCGTCAGTGCCGCCCGGGGCCGTAACTGGGGCGGGGCTGGGGACGGACGGCACGCCACTTACGTGTAGTCCATGTCCTCTGGCCCCGGGAAGGGCTCCAGAGGCCAGTTAAAGAAGCAGTTGAGGAAAACCAGGCCGGAGCAGCCGGCCCAGACCACGAGGATGATGATGAAGGAGACACCAAAGTCGTAGATGACCTGAAAGGCACGAGGGGCGGGGGCGGGGGCGGGGCCCGGGGCAGAGTTAGCACCGGAGGCCAAGTGGGTAGCAGGCAGGATCCCCCCCCCCACCCCCCGTGCTGAGCTGCGTGAGGAGGCCCAGCCCGGTCAACCTGGGTGACTGGTCATCAGATTCTGCATCGCGAGTACCCCAGCTCACCCTGGCATGTCCTTAACCTTGGACAGATGTCACTTCCTAGGAGAGGCCTTCCCTGACCCTCCCCCCATCACTGACACTGGTTCTCAGTGAGCAGCCTTGGCTGAGAAAACTGGTCTCAATTAATTTCCTTGCCCAGTGTTAGCGCAGCCCCTGGGACAGGAGCCCGTTAGCCTTGTCTGCGGATGTGTCTCCAGCATCTCCAAGTGCACATGACAGTGTGAGAAATCCCCGAGGGACGAACAGGTGGCTGTCTCACTTTCCTCCTCGGAGAGGAGGGTGTAGAGAAAGTCACGTGTCCTTGCGGTATTGTGGTGGGGGGAGGCAGGAGTGACCCCCCTGGAGTGGCAGGGGGAAGCCTGCCGAGCACAGCATCTCAGCTGTAGCTGTCATGACTGCTGTTATTCCCAGAACCGGAGCCCCCGGAGTCCTGGCTCCCCAGGGCGGGACCGGCAGCAGCTCAGCACTGAGGCGGGAGGACGGAGGCACACGCAGGCTTCTCTGTGCTCCGGAGTGAGACTCCCTAAAAGCCACAGGGCGGCTGGCCCCAGGCCCTCCACGCACTTTGATTCCTAGGAGACCAGCCCACACCTGTGCCGCCTCCTCCTCCTCAATGGCCCCTGCACCGCAGGGAACGGGATTTCACGGGTGCCGGCGCCAGAGCAGGGAAAAGCCCCTTCCGAAGCCCCGGTGGGAGCAACAGGATCTGGAGGAGGAGCTGGGGCGGACGGCCGGGAGGTGCTGGCTTCCCCCTGACCCTGTGTGACTTCCAGGGGCTCAGAATCCTGCGGGGGAGGGAAACAGCTGAACCAACTTGGCCGAGAGCAGTGCTCTGGCTAACGGCGGCGAGGAACAGCCCAACAACAACAGGTCTGGGGGTGGGGAGACGGGAGCTGGACTCGGGATCGGGGACAGACTCACCCAGCCCCTTTCTGCCCCCCGGCCCAGAAATGCCAGGCAGCCTGTGGGGACGGCCTGTGGGGATATGCTTTCATTTTCCGTCCCCCAGGCCAAGTGTGGTTCTTTTCTGGCTCCCAGGTGCATCCTCCCAGGTGCGGGTGGTGAGGAGGGGCCCGCGGCCTCCCGCACCCGCAAGCATTGCCCTTTTTAGAGAGGGCTGGGGGGCGTGGAGAGAAGCCTCTGTTCAGACACTAACACAGAATAAATGCCACACCCTCACCTTGATTCCCGGGAAGGTGACTGCTGAGGAGGCATAGGATCCGATCATCAAGGCAATAAACGTGGAGCGAAGGTCGCCGAACATGTTGGGCAGCTGTAAGACAAGAGGCAAGGGCAAGTTCAGCGGCGAGAGGGGCGAAGGAGGGGGAGAGAGGATCAAGGCTCAGCAGGCACTTTTCCTTATCTGCTCTCCGCCCTGGATTCACAGCATTAGTCCAGGTAAATGACTACGAACGGGAGGTTTTTCCTTCCCGGCCTGAGGTTGGTGAGGGCAGAGGAGGAGCGCAATGCCGAATTCGGACCCCAGATGTGAGGACAGGGCCGTTGGGACTTCCTGGCTGGCAACTGTCCCTCCTCGTTGCTCCCACAGGCCAGGGCCCTTCTCGCCTTTACAGGAAGACACTGAGATGCGAGCGAGCCAAGCTGGGAGGCAGGCATCCCTCAGAGGGGGGCAAGTCAGTTAAAAATAAGAATCTATTTGGGGACAAGAGTGTCATTCTTATAAATAAAAATATCAAGTCCCAGAAGGACCAGATGTCAGCAAAAGCTGCTTTCAGTTCTGAGAGAGTAGATCTCTGGAAGGTGTCAATCAAAATCCTGCAGTTCCCTCCGCGCCGACAAGGGCACCGGCCTGGGAAGATTTCTGCTTCGGAATTTCTAAGTGCAAGGACGGCCCCAGAAATCACCACCTGAGTAGGCCGGGGGCTAAACACGCTGGGGCTCTCATCAAAGTGAGGCCACTCTTGCATCGCACGTAACTTTATTCTGGGCTCATTCGAAATAACTTCAAAGCTAGAACCCTCAGCGATTCCACACAAACCCAGGCATGTAACAGAGGGCACTGCAGCCACGGATTCAGACCTGAGGCAAAGCACCCTTCCCCACTCCTCCCCCCCAAAAAAACAGCCAGTCACGGCTTCTCTCCAGAACCTCGAGGAGGTTCTGCCCACCGTGCCTCGCACCGAGGACCCCTCTCTGGACGCTAAGCCAGCCTATTTCATACTGTGGATATGTCCCCCTCCCTCACTTGTCTGCGATCATCTGGGGGTTTTATTAAACACGATGGCTTGCAAGCTGACCCACTGGTGCTGAACACAAGCAGTTTGAACTTGGCCTCACATCCTTTCTGCCCATGTTACCCACAACTAAAATGAACAGAGCACATACCAAATCGTCATGTTTTATACAATACAATGCTGTATGGAACTGTGTCTCAGTGAAACAGGGGGAAAACAAGGGACATCATCTACAGTAAAAACTTTGTGCTTCATATCTATTATGATCCTGTTCCTAACCTGAATTTCTGTTGAAAAATGTTAATACAGATCTGGTTTCTGAGACAGACCATTATAAGGACAATAGCATTTTTGAAAATAAGTTTGTGTTTTCTTTAGTTTTTTTTTTTTTTTTTTTTAATTGATTTCAGAGAGGAAGGGAGAAGGAGAGATAGAAACATAAATGGGGAGAGAACCATTGACTGGCTGCCTCATGCACACCCCCACTGGGGATTGAGCCCACAACCCAGGCATGTGCCCTGACCAGGAACCGAACCTTGACCTCCTGGTTCATAGGTCCACGCTCAACCACTGAGCCATGCCAGTTGGGCTGAAAATAAGTTTTAAATAAATTCTGATGTTGGGGGAAAATAAAACAAATTAAAAACTTAAGAACTTTTGTGCTTTAAAGGTACCATCAAGGTTTGAAAAAACAATGCACTCGCGTCTCTGATAAAGGACTTGTATCTAGAAAATATAAAAAACTCCTACAACTCAATAATAATAATAAAATAACCTCTTTTTAAAATGGGCAAAAGATCTGAATAGACATTTCTCAAAAAAAAAAAAAAAAAAAAAAACACAAAAAAAAACACCCAAATGGAGATATACTCAGTGTCATCAATCATAGGGGGAATAAGAATCCAAACCACAACAAGATACTAATTCATGTCCTCTAGTGTAGCTACAATAAAAAGAAATTAGCTAATAATAATGGAGATATAAAGGAATCGGAGCCCTCACACTGCTGGTGGAAATGTAGACAGGTGCGGCCACTTTGGATAATAGTCTGGCAGTATCTCCAACAGTTAAACAGAGTTACCGTATGACCCAGTCATTTCACTCCTAGGTAGACATCCAAGAGAAATTAAATACCCACACGGAAACTTGGGGAATGCCTATAGCAGCCTTACTCATAATATCCCCAAAGTGGAAACAATATCAATGTCCATCAATGAATGAATGGGTAAACAAAATGTGGTATATCCACACAAGGGCGTATTAGCCAGCCACAAAAAGAAATGAAGTACTGACTCCTAGTACAACATGGATGAACCCTACGAAAACACGTGAGGTGAAAGAAGCCAGTCACAAAAGACCACCTATTGTATGACTGCGTTCACATGAAGAGTCCAGGCGAGGCACATCCACACACAGAGAATAGCTCAGTGGTTGCCGAGGGCTGGAGTAGAGGAAGCTGGGAGGAAACAGGGAGGAAACGCTAATGGACACAGGGTTTCCATGTGGGGCGCTATAATTAATTATGCTGACAACTACACAACTGTGAATGTAATGAAAACCAGTGAATTGTACACGTTAGGTGAATTACATGGCATATGAATTATGTCTCAATCACTGTTAAAAACAAACGAACATGAATAAGGAATTCAAATGTTTTGGATCCCAGAATTAAAAAGGAACACCAGTCCTGGTGGATGTGGTGCTCAGTTGGTTGGGCGTCGGAAAGGTTGCTGGTTCAATTCCCAGTCCCGGTGCGTGCCCAGGTTGCGGACTTGATTCCCCTGTAGGGAGTGTGCAGGAGGCAACTGGTCGATGTTTCTCTTTCACATCAATGTTTCTCTCCCTCTCTCTCCCTTTCCCTTCTTCTCTAAAAATCAATAAAAAGTCTTATAAGAAAAAAAAGGAACATGAATCAGTCTAGAGCATATGATATGAGGCCAAGTAGGCTGTCCAGGCTCCCCAAAGAATTCCCAGCACACAAAGAGCTCTCTTCCAGCCCCGCGCAGAGTGGGTCCTCTGTTCACCCGGGCTTGTCAGGGAGAGTCAGAGGAGCACAGGGGGCAGGTGGAAATCCCCCAACAGGAGACAGAGTATGCGATGTGCCTAGGCACACCCAGATGAGCACCACGGCACCAATCTTACTCTGTGCACACATGCTCCCAGGTATGCTGTGATTCAGAGGCCATGCCTCAGTTCCTGGGCTCACATATTTTGGCTTCTCCATGCTGGCTACTCCAGCAAGGCAGCGTGTAGGGGAGGCATCTCTGGGGCCATACCAGCCCCAGGGAGAGTCCAAAGACTGGTTCTGATTGTTCGGAAGGGGGGAACTGCTCCCACCTGGAATGCCACTCCAGCCAGGGCGGGTGGGGGAAGAAAAGGATCAAAGAGGGCTCAGAATCCACCTGAAGAGTAAATGGAGGATGCCAACAAAGGCTACTTGGTGCCGAGTCAGGCCAGGGAGGCACTTTATGCAGTCCCTTTTATGCACAAAGGCTCAAACTTTCAACGGGGCCATGGATACTCCAGAGAAGCAGGCAGACAACCCTTTCTCTTTGTCCTTAAGCTCCAGCTTGCCCTAACCCTAACCCAGGCTAGAGGCCAACAGAACAACAGAGGCTTGGGGGTAATATGCAACTCAGATCTGATCTTCTGGAGTCTTCTCCCCACAACTAGATCCAGGACAGGGAAGAACAGAAAGCTGGGCAAAGAGCTGCCTTCCCATCTGCCCCTGGGGGAGACCCCCACCCTCATGTCTGGACAAGGGCAGTAGCCTTCCAGCTGCCCTGCTTTTCCCAGCCTATGACACTCTTAGCAACACCAAGAAAATTCTCCCCAACATGTGATGTTGGTCAGCAAGGTCATTACCAGGGGAGCATGGAGCCTTGGGGCAAACCATACCACTCAGTGTTCCCAGCATCAACATCCTGTATTTTAAGCTATGATTTTTTTTCCTGGTTAGAAGGGCAATGCATGCCCAGTGTAAAAATTTTGGATATACTTTGTTATACATAAAGGATAAAATAAAAATCACCCTGATATAACCATGTTACCATTTCGGTATATTTCCCTTTAACTTTTTTCCTATAAATACCTATAACTTTACACCAAAATTGGGATCCTATGCTAAATATTGTTTTATAAACTTTTTCGTTTTTGCTGTATTATAAATGTTTTCTAAGTTCATATTCATCTTCAACATAGTTTGAGATAACTATCTGGTCCATACTTTCTGCATTTCTCTGATGTTGGGCCTAAGGGCCTTTTATTTATTTATTTAAAAATATTTTTATTGATTTCAGAGAGGAAGGGAGAGGGAGAATGAGACAGAAACAGCAATGTTAAGAGAGTAATCATTGATCGGCTGCCTCCTGCACACCCAACACAGGGATGGAGCCTGCAATCCGAACATGTGCCCTGACCAGGAATCGAACCAACACTTCCTGGTTCATAGGTTGATGGCTCAACCACGGAGCCACGCCAGCCAGGCCCTCAGGGCTTTTTTAATTAAAAAAAAAATGTATTTTATTGATTTTTTTTCAGAGAGGAGGAGAAAGGGATAGAGAGTTAGAAACATTGATGAGAGAGAATCATCGATTAGCTGCCTCTTGCACACCCCCTACTGGGGATGTGCCTGCAACCACGGTACATGCCCTTGACTGGAATAGAACCTGGGACCTTTCAGTCCGCAGGCTGACGCTCTATCCATTGAGCCAAACCGGTTTCGGCTTAATTTTTATCATAAACAACAAATGAACATCCTTAAATGAACATCCTTGGAGATAAATATATGTGCGCATAGCTATTATTTCCTTAGATAAAGTCCCAAAAGAGAATCAGTTGTCATACTCTGTGCCAAATTGCCTTCTAAAAAACTTATACCAATCGATCTTCACACCAGCAGCAGAGGAGAGTGTCTGTTTCACTGTCGCCTTTCCAACATTGTTCATTAACATTATTTTTATTTTTAATATTTGCTACTTCACCAATATCCTGCTGTGGTAAAATCCATTTATTTGTGTATATGAATGAAATGAATTGGTGACTGATATTTGTTTCAAAGTAATCTGGATGGATGGGT